CCGCTCTCGGATCCGGCGGCGGCGGCGGCTGCGGGGCTCAGGCGGCCGTGGGCCCCGCCGCCGCGCTCACGCGCTCCCTCGTGGCTGCCGCGGCCGCCGCCGCCTCCTCCGTCTCCTCGTCGGCCGCCCTGGGGACTCTGCACCAAGGGACTGCCCTGTCCAGTGTCGAGAACTTTACTGCTAGGATTTCAAATTGTTAATAACGCTATGTTAGCGCGCTTGAAAAAGAGAAGGTAGGCATCCCGGCTCCTTTTTTCATCTTGGTGGTTTGGTGTTTTGCCCGCCCCTCCCAACCGCGCGCCCCGGTTTTCGCCGCATCAGATTCTCAGACGAGACTGTGTTCGGTAACTTGGGCGCGCTTTAGGCTCTGCGGGTCCCTCTATTTATGCAAAGTCGCCCTATGCTGCAGCCCCCCGACCTGCGGTGGGGAAGAAGAGGGTGCTGGTGGGGTCCGCCCTGTCTCGGCACAAGGGGCTTCCTTGACGTTTGGGAAATCTTTAAAAATCTAAGCCTTTTTGAGGTCTAGAGATTCTCAGGTCCAGGAGTTTTTAAAAATCAATAATGTTCAAAAGAAGACTAATACAGAAACAGTAAAGGTCCCGAAGAATGCCAGCAAAGCAATACTTTTTATTTGAGCACATTTGGTGTATTTTTTTCATGAAAAGGAAGAAAAAAAACTATTAACATGTTTACACAAGGAAAAAAGTCAAAATTTCTTACTTTAACCTGTGTTTTGTATCATAATAGACATGCGGAATTTTTATTTTGTACTTACTGCGTATTCTTTACAAGGAGTATTGTAAATTTTACTGGCAATTATTGTACTATTCTAATGTAAGATTTTTACACTCTTTCAGAAATAAAATGCTTAATTTTCAAAGAAAACCCATCAAAAGAATTGGCTTCAGTCGTCCCCTTCTTAGTTTATTTTGTTTTCTGTTAAAAAAAAGTTTCCATGTGAGATAAATAGGAACCCATTACAGAAAAGGCAAATATTATTTTCAAAGAGAATTTAACAAAAGCATCGTGCTGTAATTTTTCATTTATACTTTCTAAGTCAAAGTCATTGCAGGAGATCAGAAGTTACTTTAAAATGTCTACAAATAAGTCACTTTGGTATACATTTTCAAATTCATTCTATTCCATTTTGAAGAGCATTGAGGCTATTTAAAATTAAAGCCACAGTTACCCTACGATAATTTTATAGAACTTTTCATTTTATTTTTGAGCTTCTCATTTCAAGTAATTTCCACTCACATTTGAGCACAATATTGTATACATCTGTAAAAACTCTGCAACATAGTATTATATTGTAATAGAAGCAAATAATAGGAAATTTTTAGTTTTAAAAATTTAATAGACATGATCATCAAGTAGCTTTAGAGTTATGAATAAGGAACTATTTAAATATACAAAATAAATTGTATTTGAAAGTCCTGGTATTTAAAGATACTGTTTTCTTGACACAAAGGACTCCAGTAAAAGTTTTTATTCTAAAAGGCAAACTTTTCAAAATTCTAGTTTAAATGAATAACAGGGTAAGAGAAACCTTCAATTTTAGGATAATGCACTCTTTAAAGAATTAAAATGAATACGTATCAATCAGGTGTTTAGTGAACTAATTATATTTATACAATTTAGGTGATTTGGATATATTTTTTCAAATGCAAAATGTTTCTTTACTTGTTGCAGGCAATTTTTAGTTCTTTGAAAAAATGTTCACTCTAGATTTGATGACTACAGTTGTTATTGTGAGCTCCAAATAAAGCGAAGGCATGTGTAATACATAATTTAAATGCTTACTATCGAGTTGCAGAGGAGGTAAAATTCGTTTCTTAATTTTTTTTGAAATATCTGGTCAGGTATATATATCTGAAGATCTTCAACCTAGCAAGTTAACAAAGACTAAATTATAGGCCAGTATTTTGCAGTGATATTCATTCTTGATGCCCTGTCCTCTCGTTTATTTTTAGGGAGGAAAAAAAGAACTGACTCACAGCCTCAAAATTAAGTTGGGTTTTTTTTCTCTATGAAATGTTTGAAAGTAAATGAGTTTAAAGTATACACACTCATCCTCAGACTTACCACTAACTATATAGATACCAACTGAAGTATAGTTAGACCAAAATCTTACATGCAAAAGTCACTTTTATCCTAGCCCGTCTGAGAGGGAGACTTTGGTAACCGAGGACGTCCGGATGTCACTGTCGCCCCCGGGGGGGAGAGGCCTTAGCAGGCGGAACCCAAACGGCACAGGTACTGCTGGCGCGCCTTGTAGCCTTTTGTAACGCATAGATCTGAAATTCCGATCTGAAAGTAATGCTGAAGAGAGCGAAAGAACAAACACGTATGTGTTGTTATTTGCGTGATGCTTGGATGTTCTGAAAGCAGGAAATCCCGGCTAAGCCCTCTTTCTCTGTTCAGATTCCCGCATCTTTAAAAGAGCGCGGGGACGGGCCCCACCTCTCAGGTTGTCATTGCCTTTAAGGGAATGGCAAGTAGACACTCGGGCGACCCAGCGCTGGCCTCGCTTGGGTCCCGGAGTTCGGATCCCTGCTTCACCCGCGCGCTAGAGAGACCCGCCAGCGTATCGTCAGTCCTGAGCCGCGAGAAAAAGTAAACCTGACCCGCCTGCCTCAGTCTGAAGTTTTGCGTCCTGCGAGTTCAGCTCCTTCATCCTCCTGGTTTGGGGTTCCTCGGTCGGCTTCTGGCCAGGCCTGCGGGTGGAGGAGCTAATGGAGCAGCGAGGGTCGCGGGTCGGATGATGTGTGGTTTGTGAGAGGAGTGGGTCGTGGGCCGCTGGGCGAGGGCTGCGGGGCAGGCGAGGAGCGGGCGGTGGGCCGTGGACTCCGCGAGTTAGGAGTGCGGGGCGCGCCCCGCTAGGCCGCGCGGGCGAGCAGGTGCTGGAACAAAGGCCGCCCGGCTACCGTGTCCTTTGATGGGCCAGGACGTCTCCTCCCGGGGCTCCTCATTTGCATGCAAATCCAGCTCCGGTCCTCTTTTCTTTGAAGGCAAACAGAAGGATGTTTGTGTGTTTGTAAGGATAAAGCCTGCTTGAACAAGCCTTCCTCAATAGGTTGGGTCTCGAAAAATAAACCAGTTGGACAAACATTGGCCACCAGCTCTCCTCCTCCCAACTACAAAGTGTGGATTTGCTACAACTCATTAACCCGACGCTTTTCTCCCCTTCTCCTCGTTTCTCTGCTCATCAAACGCCCCCATAGAGCCTGGAGACAAATGACCGAAGCGCAGTCGGGAGCGAATTGCAGTTAATAGGGAGAGGGATATATTGGGGCTAATGGTTCGGGCAGATCTCGGAGAAGGACCACACAAAAAGGAGCCTCTCCATTCAGAGCTCTGTTGTGCCGTGGAGGTTTAATCTGCATCTAGATTTAGCCAAATGTTATCTATTGCGGGGGTAATGAAGCCCTTATGGATTGAATTGCTCCTTGTACCACACATGGTGTCATGACCTTAGATTGCTCCTTGGTTGGTTTCTTTTTTCTCTATTGAGTAATTATTTTATTTCTTTCAAATAAGAAACTAGCGCTCTGCTCAACAATGTGTTTACTCTCCATCCCCAGTGTATTTAAGAGCCACTTCCCTTCCTCTTAAAAAAAAAAAAAAAAAACTGGGGGTGGGGGGAAGAAAAAAATGAGGACCATTTCCCCCTAATTTTTACTCACTGAAGCATCTGTATGCTTTTACATCTCTACTTCCTTGTCCGCTGCTCAGCCGCCCTTTCTTGCCCAAACTTTTCTGCTGATGAACTGAAATTTGGGGTACATTTATTATCAAAATTCTCACAGTAAATGTAGTAAGCATCCATTTTTTTTTAACCCACCATTTCTTCCTGTAGCCTGTCCTCTGAGAGAGCTGGGGGTGGTGGTTATTCTGATGGAAGGTGATTATTTTGATGAAATACCAGCCTGTGTCATTTATTAAAGGCTCTCTGAGGCCAGTGGCTGTGCCTGTTTTGTTTTTCTCTCTATGGCCCCAGTGGCTCTGATTTCCTTGCTTGACTGAGGACCAAGCTTGGAGCAGCCAACAGTGTTATTACAACTGCTATTGATGGGTAGAGATCTGATCTTACTACCCAAAGCCAAGAATGAAGGACTCTAGATTTAGTTTAAAAATTCTCTGCTGGCTACACATTTTGCTCACACCTGTTTTTATTACTGGCTGAGAAAAGTCATTTGGGGGCAACTTAAAGGTCATATCAGCATCAAACTCAATCCAAATCAGAAATCTGCCTGGAAATCACCCTGGTCTCTCTGAGCTCCTCCAGGGAGGTCACTGTGGCTCTAATTGGAATGCCAGGGGTCCCCTTTCCCCTTTAGAACTGAACCAGACAAGGACAGGCCTGGGGAGCAGAGGACAAGTGAAGTGGGCCTGGCATTGTCGGCATCCATTCTTGTCTCTGCCGGTTTCCTGGTGTTGCAGCTGGGTTACACATACACACACACAGGCATGCACGCTCATTGCCCATCAGCTGCCACTTGTCTCCCTTCTCCCCTATGATTTTGTAATTAGGCATATGCTTTTTGTTGGTAAATGTGTTTGATGTCATGGCCAGTGAAACGTGGAGTGTTTATAGGGCCACAAATGTAAATGTGTAAATATGTTTAGTGTAAAATCTGGCCCTTCGACTTTAGCAATAAATACCCTGCCAACTCAGATACGATTACATTTGACAGAAAGATGGAGAATCTGATCATGACCAGCTGCTCAGGGCTCTCTGGGGCTTATACTCTCCCAACTGAATTCACTTTTCAGATAATTTCTTTACATGTCACATCTCTCTAATCACATCTTTCCCTTGATGTGAACAGCTTGGGCTCTTTTCTTTTTATTGTTTTCCTCTGGCATGCAGGAAACTTCCTGGTTCATTCTTCCTGCTTCTTTACCAGGAAAATATTATTCAGTAACAAGCAAAAGACACACAGAGAAAACATCTGATTATTATCACCCATCCCATTTTGAGTCCTGAGTCTTCAGGTGTGATAAGATGGCTAGGAAGAGAAATGAGGGTAGACTGTGAGCTCTGACCCACATTAATTATTTCACTCGTCCTTATCATCATCATCCTAACTTTAAAAACTGTTTTTGAGCTACTCTAACTTTTAAAAGTAAACACTTTAGGAAAGTATAATATACATACAGAAAAATGCACAAATCTCACCCACTTTTCACAAAGTGAACCCACCCACAGTGTAACCAGCATCAGACCCAAAAGCAGATGTTACCAGCGCCCCAGAAAACCTTTTCCTATGTATTCCAGTCACTATCCTCAGCACACATTAACTTTTTAAAAGGACTTTCACTAATATTTCTCTCAACTACGCTGTGAAAGAGAGGACAGGAATTACCATTGAGCCCGTTTTACAAATAAATATATCAAGGCTCAAAAGATAGTGACTTGCCCAAGGTCACAGCTACTAGAACTTCAGCATTTAAATTCCATTTTATTTCCATTACATTACACTGTCACTTTGTTGCCATCATTGTGATTTATTAAACACCCACTGTAGTGAGGCAACTTCCTTAGAGGTCACTGTGTAGAAGTCATTTATTTCCTACACACTTTTTTGTATTCTTGCTAGACCCTTCTCCCTGCCATTTCTACTCAGGTCTTCCCAGAGGTCCCTCAGCTCCTTGTTTTAGATACATTTGGAATCTATAGCTAATTATTTTGGATGTGTCAGCTTTTTCCACCTAGGTCTATATGACACTCCCCTAGCATCACTTTTCCAAATACGGTTTTTGCATTAGCAGTCTCTCTCTCTCTCTCTCTCTCTCTCTCTCTCTCTCTCTCTCTCTCTCTCTCT